GGGGGCGGGGCCTGGCGCGGCCTGTGGCCGATACCCGGATGCCCGTGCCTGCAGTGCCACGCCGAGCCCAGAGGAGGTGCGGAGCTGGGCGCAGTCCTTCGACAAGCTAATGCACAGCCCAGCGGGCCGCAGCGTGTTCCGCGAGTTCCTGCGCACCGAGTACAGCGAGGAGAACATGCTCTTCTGGCTGGCCTGCGAGGAGCTCAAGGCCGAGGCCAACCAGCACGTTGTGGACGAGAAGGCGCGGCTCATCTACGAGGACTATGTGTCCATCTTGTCCCCCAAGGAGGTGCGCCGCGCGGGGACCGGGGTGGGGGGCGGGGGCGCCTCCGGGCCCCTGACCGCGGCCCCTGTCCCGCAGGTGAGCCTGGACTCCCGGGTGCGGGAGGGCGTCAACAAGCAGATGCAGGAGCCGTCGGCGCACACATTTGACGACGCGCAGCTGCAGATTTACACGCTGATGCACCGAGACTCCTACCCCCGCTTCCTCAGCTCCCCCGCCTACCGCGCCCTGCTGCTCCGGGGCCGCTCCACATCCTCCAGTGAGGCCTAGACTGCCCACCGTGGCTGCCTGGACGCGGGACCCCTCCCGCGGGCAGAGACTCCTTTCACAAAGGCGCTTCACGTGTGGGGCACACCCGCCGGGCCCAGCGCCCGGGGCGGCCCCAGGCAGGAGCTCCAGGTGCTGGGCAGGCCAGAAGCCCCCTTCCCCACCCAGAGGACCCAGCGCCCCAGGATCCAGCTGAGAGGCGGGCGTGAGGGCCTCTGGGCCTAGGCAGCCCCTCCAGCACCACCACCCCTACTGAGCACTTCCTGCTGGGGTTCCCACCTGGTGAAAGGAGGCGCCCTCCCTGAAAGCATCCTGGACCCACAAAGCTCACAAGGTCCTCCTCCCCGGGCCCCTGGGGGCCCTGAGAAACGCCTTTGGTGGAGAACAGAAGCTCTGTGCTGCCTAGTTTTGTGACAAGAGGAAACCTCCAACTGGTACCATCTGCACCGCGGGATCAGACCCAGGACCTCAGAACCAGGCTCAAGGCAGCAGGACCCGGCTTCTCTTTTATATGTTCATTGAGTTTACGCCAGGAAACATGGCACTGTGTGTTTTATCAAAAAACAAAAAAAAAGTTTTCATATTTAACTCCACTCCTCTTCCCCCCAAAATAGAATCTTATTATTGAAGATATTTTTAAAGTAAAAGCCTCTCCCCTCTGTCCACATTTGCGGGGGAATTAGAGAACGAGGAGTTGTCCACGACCCCCAGCAGGGGAGCAGCCACGCTCAGTGAAGGGACCCTGTGCTCTGCTCCAACCCCACCCCTCAGAGCAACAGCCTCAGCGGGCAGCTGTGCTCAGCCCTCCCCATGCGAGGGCGCCCCCAAGGCACCTGGCCACCAAGGGTGACAACGCAACGAGACACTGGGCAGGCAGGGTCCCTGGCAGGGGCTGGCCGGCTAGGGCAGGACACTTACGGGGGAGACCTCCCCGAGACCCTAGGTGCCGGGCAGTCACCTGTACTGTCTCACAGGCCCCACAAGGCACACGCATGCCACCCTGTTCCCTGAGTTTCTGCTTGGTAAAGCGATTCAACGCTGCAACCGGGGCGCAGAGGGTCTGGTCAGGGGTCCACCCCCATCCACACTGCTTCCACGAGCAGTGGGGCATCCTGAAGGGTTGCAGGCAGGCACGGCTGTGGGGCCCAGACTTAGCCTCCCGCCCATAATCCCTGGACCCTGAGCTGCGGTGCCCGGAGAGGTCGTGAGACCCCGGCTCCTCTGTGCGCCCACAGCCCCCCCCCCCACCTGATCCTCGTGCTATGCAGGCCCAGCCCTGCCCCTCCCACGGGCACACTCAGGCCCCTCTGAGAGCCAGCGGGCTCTTCCCTCCAGCGCTGTCCCAACAGGCCAAGCCTCAGCGTCACCTGACCCCAGGGAGGTGGGCTGTCTCCGCAGCGGTGGGGGTCGGGGGGATCAAACCAGAGATGAGGGGATGGGGGACCCAGCTTGAAGCCCAGGCCTGTACATGGCCCACCAGGACCAAGGGCTAGGGAAAAAACAGTGGCAAAAAGAAACATTTAATAACTGGGGGGTAAGAGGGGGAAAGGTGCACTGCAGGCAGGGTGGGGGGCAGGGTGTGCTGCCTTCTGAGGAAGGCCAGGTGGGCAAAGGGCAGATCTCCAGAGAAGCTGTATCTGTTGGCAGAGGATGGGGAAAGGGCGACGGCCAGCACTGGCCGTGGCCCAAGGCTGCAGGCACACATGCACAGGGCTCAGCAGAACTGCAAGAAACAGGTGAGAGGCGCCCATCCAGCCACGTGGCCTGCAGGACCCCACAGGGCAAGAGGCAGGGCTGGGGTCTCCATCCGCCATCTCCAAGGCTCCCAGGAGGCTGGCTGGCATGGCCATCCCCCAGTTCACACCACAGACCCCACAAAGGCTGGAGACACCCACCTCCAGAGAACAGGGCTGGGGATGGATGGCCTGGGCTCACCCACCTACCTTCCAGCGGTTTCCACACTCGTTGCAGACAACGAACGTGGTCATAGGCTCATCGGAGCTGCGGGTCTGCACCTGTGGGGAGGGCCACGGTGGGAGGGGCCCAGCCCCAGGGCCTCAGTCCCTTGCAGCTGGAGGCCCCAGGGAGCAGGACTTCCCAGGAGTCACAACCTGGGGAGCCCGCCACCCACGGCCTCAGGCCGTGCTGGCCTCACGTCACCTGGGCTGAGGCTGCCCTGCAACCCCCACCTTGCAGTCGCCCCAACCGCTTTCCTCTTACAGGGCCCCCCAACATCTCTTGGGGCCCACCTCCACAACTCTGAGTGGAGTCCTGCTACCACCACTGGGCACCCATCCTCCCACCAGCAGCAACACAGGGGGGCTGGGCTCCCAAACTTCAGTGCCCCAGAACGAACGGGCTGGACCCACCGCCCGAGACTGCCTACTGGGGAGCAGGGGTCCTCGGCAAGGGGGAGGCCCCAAGGGTGACCGCAGCTCCCGGCCCCATCGGAGACTAGGTTGTCGGACCCCCATCCCAGCACCGCTCACACCGCACGTGTCCAGGCGCAAGGGGGATCCGGCCTGCACAGCAGGGGCACGGACGGCTCCGAGGAGGGGCGGGGCTCCGGGAGGGCTGCCGACGCTCACCTGCGTGTAGGTGCAGTTCTTCTTCCTGCACTTGCCGCAGGTGAACAGGTCGGTCTGCGTGCCGCCCGTGCGCGCCATCTGGTGCTCGCGGATGGCCTCCTTGGTCATGGCCTTGCGGATCTCCTTCAGCTCGTCGCTGGCCATCTCCTGGGGCGAGCGGCGCGTGCTTAGCCCGCGGCCCCCCAGGGGCAGCCCCCAGCGCCCCCACGGGCTCACCTCCGAGGTCATCACGGCGATCTGCTGCGGCGTGATGGCGCCGCACAGCACGTTGCGCCGCAGGCTGGGGTTCTTGGCGTCCTTGAGGTTGGAGAGGCGGCTGCGCACACGGTTCTTGTACTTCATGTCCGTGTTCCCCACGTCCCGGAAGATGCGTGCGCACGTTTAAGGAGCCGTAGGGAGGCCGATGCCCCGCCCTCCACCCCTGCCCCCAGGTCAGCCAGGGCCTTTGGCGAGGCATGTCGGAAGAGCCAGCCACACCTGGGCGTCGACAACTGACACTTTCCCGGCTGAGACCCAACTGCAGGCTGGAGGCCCGGGACCCAGGCCCACCGCAGGCCCGCTCAGACCCCAGAGGGTCTGGGAGGAGCCCCCTGGCCAAGACGAGCACGCCCACCCGACCGCCCCATCCCCTGGCGAAGGCGCAGGACAGTGGCCACCAGGGGAGCTGAGCCTGGCTGGCCCCGCCGTTCCTCCAGATCTGCAGCCCCCAAGCCGCTGCACAAAGGATATATTCCTCGATCTGGGCCGACAAGCGCTCGCAGTCTGCACCGACAGCCACGTGGTCATCTGCAAGAAGGAGCCCTGACCAGCTGCCCTGCCGGCTCCCCCCCACACCTCAGCCTGCGCAGCATCCAGGCGTCCTGCTCCCCAGAGACCCCCGGCTCCCCGCCCCCAAGGTCAGCAGCACGGGGTTGGACTCGGGCCTCCACAGGCAGGCGGGGCCCAGGCCACCTGGGAATCAAGCGTGTGTCAGGAGCCAGGACCCCGAGGTGTGCTGGGTGGCCCCGGCCCAGGCACTCACGGTCCGTCTGCAGGGCAGCGGTCAGCATCTCGCGACACTTGTTGCGCACGGCGTCACAGGTGACCGGCACCGGAGGAAACGTGGTGATCCTGGGTGTCGACGGCGTCCTGGGCAGCTCTGGCCTCTTGCGGCTGGAGAGAGGCCCGCTCGGGCCACGTGGACCTCCGTGAGATGCCGGTCCCCAGAAAAGCCAATGTCACAGCCACGATGCCCCCAGACCCCGTCTGCTCCACTCTGACAGCGGCCCAGAACCCTGCCCATCTACAGTCAGGTCCAGCACATCCACGCGGTCTGGCCAGAGGCAGTGAGGATCACTGGGTGGGACACACCCCCACACGGGATCCCCACCCTCAGGGAGACCTGGGACACGGGGCCACACTGCCCAACGCAAACTGCCAGGTCAGGGGGAGGCAGACGGGACGAGGGATCACTCAAGACCAGGCACCACTATGCAGGCAGCCCCACCCCGTGGAGGTCTGGGCACCCCCCTCCATGGGTTGCCTGTCCACAAGGCTCTGTCCACCCACGGCCCTCCTCTCACACCCCTGCATCTCGTGACCCTGTGACCTCCACGGAAGCCAGTGGAAGCAGGCGGCTTCCTGGAGGAAAACTCAAACGTGCAGGTGGGCAGATGAGCCCACGTCTCTGCACAGCCGTGCGGTGAATCCAAATCTCAGCTTTTCCTCTCCCTTGGCCACTGCTGCCCAGTGGGGTCAAGGGCAAAGCAGCCTCTCAGCCACAGCCCATCCCTGGGGCGGCAGGAGCAGGGAGGCCTCAGTAGCCCCAAAACCTGCACCATGCCACAGCCTGGGGCATCCCCGGTGAGGGAGGGGCCGGCAGCCAGAGACCCCAGGCCAACGTGGGTAGCCAGAGTTAGCCAGCGAGAATCGGACCCTGGCCCGGGGCCTGGATCTGGGGATGTGAGCAACGGGCTCCCACAGGCCCGCTCAGGGCGTGGGTCAGCTCCGTGTAGCCAGGCAGACAGAGCGCCCCCCTCAGATGCTTGGGGCTAAAAAGGTCCAGAGGAGTCTCCGGAGGGAAAGTGTCCAGCAAGAGGCTGACCCTGGGGAGAGTCCCTTCCGAGGAGCTGAAAGGGCTGATGACCTCAGCACCCCCACCCAGCGCCCCTGGAAATCCGCACCCCGGTCTGCCGAGAAAGTGGGGCCATGGGCGGGGCGTGTGTCTGCCTTCCAGACGTGCTACCTGGGGTCCTGGGCCTCGGAGGCCTCCTTGGAGGACGATGTGGGCAGAGGCCCGCCCCTCCTCCGCTCCCTGGCTTTGGCGTCTGAAGCATCTACACGTGCCGGGAAAGAAGGGAGGGCTGGCTGGGAGAAGGCAGGCCCGGAGGGCAGGCGGGGCCAGGGAGGGGGGCAGACCACCACCAAGGCACATCGGACCCTGCCTCCAGCCCCAGCTTCCTGCGAACCACTGCGGTCCTCTCTCCCCAGCCAAGGAAGGTCCTGAAAAGTCTCCCTGAGTACAGAAGTCCCCCCGAGAGTGACGGCCTTCGCGGACGGCACGGTTGGACTTGGACAAAGGCTGGTCACCGCAGGCAGGCCGGGCATGGCCACTCCCCAGCTGGGCCTCGGCCCCAGAGCGAGCCATCGAGTGAGTCCCAGCCTGCACTGGGGACCTTCCCACAGGACGAGAAGCGTCCCATATGCCACCAGAATAAATACGCTTGTCCAACACGCAGCCCAACAGCCACGCAGGACTGGAGAGAAGCCCAGGACATGCAGCTCTGTTTCCCAAGGGTTTGGACAGAGCCCAGGAGGGGCTGGGAAGGGAGGGGAACCTCAGGGTCCAGTGGGGGCATCCCAGTCGCCCCACTGTCCCTAGAAAGAGGCTGCCCCTGTTCCCTGAGGGGCTCCAGACGCCCCTTCCTCCTCCTCCCCCTCCTCGCCCCCCCTCCCCCCCACGTCCGGAGCTGCCCCCTGCCCTCTGACTGCCCCACACTCCTCCCCTGGGCGACCTCCCCCAGCTCTGCCAGGCCCCCCTCCAGGGCTCAGCGCAGCCTTAACTCC